GAGAATAAAATCATAATAAGTCTTGAATACAATTATCTTAGTTAAAATAATAATATTATTCAATATTAATATTTAATTATTGAAACCAATTTCTATATTAGACTTTAATGTATATATGTATTATTTAAAAAAAACTATAAATATTATTTTGTAATTAAAAAAATTATGAAAAAGAACCTTGTGACTTTTTAGTCATTTATGTAGAAAATAAAAATTTTAGTTGATTTAAATTAATTTTATTACTATAAAAAATCAAAAAGGTATGAATGAAGATCAAATTTTTTATCAATATTAAAAAATATTAAAAAATATAAATTTTATTTAGAATTTATATAGAATTTATTCAAAAAATTTAAGGAAGTTTTAGAGCAATTTTAAAGACTTTGGTGAAAATAAGTTTTATCACTTTAGAAGGCCATTATGAAGAAATGGATTAAGATTTGAAGTCTCTATATTATTCTTGGAAAAAATGGGTATTTTTTGAACACCATAATGAAATTAAAAATGAAAAAATATTAGTTTTTATAGTAAGAAATAGGAAAAAATAGCAACTAATATATTCTTTATAAGAAGAGAAGAGTAGAAGTTCCATGTAGACTGTAGCACCTTGGATGTAGATAGGAGTATAAGACCAAGGCATTGTGGCTTTTCTAAGAAACTCTTTGATACTACTTGTGAATCTTAGTGAGGCTCAAATTCTTAATCTATTATGAAAATTATCCTTAAAACAAAATTTATTTATTTAATTTTTTAGTTATTTATTTGTTATTTTTAAATCTTTATAACTTAATCATAATAATTTAAATTTATATGTTTATTATTTCATTAGAAAGATAATAATAATTATTATTTCAAAAATATATTTTTTATTTTTTATTAGATGGAAATTTAGTATAAAAAACTATGATTAAGTTTTATAGTATGTTATTATTTGATTACATTTATTTATTTATTTTGGATTTATTCTTCTTTTTTTCTTCTTATTTACTTATTTCATTTCATATTACCAATTACAAGCGACTCTTAATTAAGGCCATCTAATAAGTTGGATTAAAGAATGAATTTTTATCTTTACACTTTTTATTATGTTCTGATATCTATAAAGATGATGATGGAAAAATAAAAATAAGTTTTTATAAAAACAATTATTGATAATTTTAAATCAAAGAAATTATATATAAGCATATTTATTTTTATCATTCTATAAATATAAAGAATTTGTAAACTATAAGACTTTTATAATAGATACATTATTTTTTATATTATAGAGTTGATCAATATTAAATATCAAATATTATAAAGAGAAAAAATTGTGATAGAAGTTGTTTATAATTTGGCATTTTTATTGCAATGAAAAATAAAATAATGAAATAATATATATCTATATATATATACATATATATATATATATATATATATATATATATGATCTATTGTTAATCTGATTAATTAAGAACTTGTTAAAGTTATGATATTTTGAATGTTATATAATCTCTATAAATAATTATTCTATTATATTTATATCAATAAATTGTATTATCTTAATTTTTTTATATTTTTTTCAAAAAAAATATGTTTAAAATTTTAAAAAATTTAGTAGAATATGAACTTCATGTCTTTAATTTCGACCAAATTTTAATTTTGTACTCACTATCAATATTGTAAATAGTAATATTTGTTAGAATTTTAAATTTGTTCAAACTTAATATGTATATATATATATATAAAATAAAAGTACTACAAGTTTTATCTATAGTTTTAAATTCATAAGTTTTTTTATTTTAAATTTTATTGTCAATAGTTTATGAATTTTTTAAAATAAAATAAAAGATATGACTTGTTACAAAATGAAATAAATTCTTTTATAGGATTTTATGGCATCTAATTGATTAGTTTTTGAAGTTACCAATTTGTAAAAGTAAGTTCATTTTATTTTTTATAACTCAATCCAAAACCCTTTATTGTGCTTTTTGAAGTGTTTACAATTCTTATTGATAAGCAATAAATTTAACTTCTATAAATTTAAACCTTACAAATTCAAATATCTATAGTATAGCTACTTTTAATGTATTTAAAAAAATTATCCTCTATTGTTTTTTGAATTTTTTGTCATTATCTTAAATCTTATTATGATTCCTATACAAAATTTTGATATTCTATTAAGTTCCCTTAGTTGTAAATGAAAGTTTTATTTTTCATTTTTTATTATGAGATTACTTACAAATACATTCAGTGGTTATTTAAGTCCAACCTGACTAAAAATGGTTTTAATTTAATTATGTCATAGATTCATTGTTTTGTACAAACTTAAGTTAGTTTGTACACTATTTTTTCTTGAATCTGCTTCTCTCTCTTCTTTAATTTGAAAAGTATTATTTCAAAGATTTTTAGTAGTAAAAATGAGTCTACTCCTGAGTTATAACACCAATATTTAATCATATCAATTAAACTTAGCATTCATATTTTATCTTTTCTGTTAATTTTTTTCCAGATTTAGATCTCAGTACATTTATAACACAAGAGACTAAATTTTATTATTTTTGAAATAAGAAATATGTATATTGAATTTTAAATATTTTTAAATTATTATTTTTCTTTACTTTTGCAAAGTATTATTTGATCTCTTTGTAAATGACAATCTTATCAAACTTTTGTTTTGCTTTAGGTTTGTTGTTAAGTATTAATTTTTTTAGTTATATTAAAGTGATTTTTTAAATAATATTATCACTATGTTATTCCACTCATATATATATATATATATATATATATATTAGACACATCACTTATCTGCACATTTTTTTCTTCAATAAATAGATTTAGTAACTAGAAATAATATCTTAAATAAAATTTGAACTCAGGTGGTATTTCCATCGTACAAAGATTTTTGAAAACAGCACAGTGTAATTTCAAACAACCTTTATAAGTTATGGCATGATATTTGGATGTAAGATATGCTAGGATTGTACAATTGATTATGTTTAACAAGAAAAATTTAGTACATTTGATATGTTTGTATTTATTTATTAGTTTATTAAATTTAAATAAATTTTCTTTCATTAAGAATTTTTTACTTGATTTGATTTTATATAATCATTACATTATATAATAAAAAAGAAAAAAAATGAAACGGAATTTTATAATTAATTTTTATAAAAAATTATACAGAAATTAGTAAATTCAATGCAAAATAAAAATGCTATTCCATGCATTATTCGTCTAAATATAAATTCACAAAGAAATGAGAATAGGATTTTGTATATAATAATCGAATTGATTTATTGAATTTCTTATTGTAAAAAACTTTGTATCAAATCTTTCAAATACATATTATTAAAATAAGAAAAAGAGAATTATATATAATATCGAAAAATTAAAAATTAAAATCTAATAGAGAGTCATAAAACAACTCAGCATACAATTTTGTAACATAGTTAATCAATTGCAAACTCAATTTTCGTCCACACCTTTTTTTTTTTTTTTTTTTTTTTTTTTTCTTTTTCTTTTGATGCAATACGTTTTATATGCATAGATTACAAAAGATAACCCAAATATTTGGCTATTATTTAAAGATTTTGGTCAAGTAATCTATGTAATTTCTTTTAAATTTATACAATTTTGTAAAGAACAGCACTTTTATAAAAATGCAAATCATGAATACATATTCAGATTCCTACCATGATTTGATGTTGGATTAAAAAAATTCATAAAAAGAATGAAGTGAACTTAGTTTGTCCCGAAAAATTATTGTTATTGTTGTTATTATTATTATTATTATTATTGACAATAAAAAAATATAAACATTAATTGCATCTTCAATAGAAATTATTACGGTAACAAGTTAAGATATCATTATAATCTGATAAGATTTTAATGAAGAGATTTGGTAGGTTCAATTTTCCTGGATAATGTATACATACACATGTATAGTCTAAAAGTATTTGTGCTAAAATTTGAATTTAAAATAATAAATTTAAAATAATCAAGATAAAAATCAATTATGAATTTTTGAATATATATGTACATGCATGTAAAGTAACATTTGGTTTTTAAAAATAATTGATGCTAGTACATTATTTAAGAATGTTCTAATTACAAAAGAAAAACATTGGGACGGGCTTACTTAGAGTTTCATATTTCTTGCATGAACATTAATAGTTTTTTTCAGCAAAATTTATGGTTTCACAAATTGGAAGTCTTTAATTGGTTCACCTATTTCTCATGTTTTTTCCTATATATATACATATATACATAATTTATTATTCACATTTTCAGACTTAAGATTATATCCAAAATGTTACAAAATAAGTAAAAAATAATTAATACAAACACTGATTGATTCACTTGACTAGAAACAAAGTTTTTGGAAAATGATTAAACAAATAATGAAAAAATATGTGTATAGTAGCTCAACTAATTCCACTTCAAGTAAAATGGGAAACATTTTGAAATAAAAACTTCAATGTGTGTGTGTGTATATATATATATATATATACACGCATATTCACTGGGGTCAATGGGGGCTAACGTTGCATACAAAGTATATATATATATATATATATATATATGTTTTGACACACACACACACACACACATTTATTGAATTATTGAAGGCAATGTCGAAACAAAATTTGATCAACATTATTAGATGTGCATGCAACAAACTGAGAGAACAGCCCAATACCAATCCCAGCAGTCACAAGAGCCCGAGAAAGGAAACCCCCACTCCATAACAAAACAGAGACAAGTTCTTCAGAAAGACAAACATTCACACATTTCCACTGGTTTCCTTTCCAGTGCAAACAAAGAAAATTAGAGACCAGATTCCTTCATAAACAGAGAAACAGAGGATAACCTGAAACAGTGATTAAACAGCGCAAATGAGGGCCTGCAACGGATCTTACAAGTCAACAGTGAAGATATTTGTCATAAGATTGAGTGACCAGCCATTGATTATGAATGCAATGCAAGAGATAGTTGCAGGAACAGTAGTCACAGGAACAGCAACACACGAGATCATGCCCGCCGAGGCACTGCAAAAACCCTGCGACTCCGTGCGAGCCCCTCCAGAGTCTCAAGCAAATAACTCAAAATCATGAGGCGCAGCGGCAACGCTAAACTCCTTTACGTTGGGTTGTGTCCAGCTCTCTCGAGTCCTGCCACTTCTGAGCTTCGCCCTGCAAAATACTGCTGCTCAACGCCGCATTTGAAGGACTGGCATGCTGCCCGCATCCACCCTTGGTTTTGGTTTTTGTTCCCCTCGGGAGCAACGCCGGGTGCTGCAGTGGCGATGCTCAAGCGGCTGTCCTTCCAGCTTCAGTCCTGTTCCAAACCAGTCCAAGTTCAGGGAATGCTTTAATGTGTTGTTTGTGGATTCGAGGTATAGGTTCGAGGTTGGCGTTGCTGGTACTTGTGTAGCTTGAATGCCGTGGCGAGTGTTCGCTTATGCTGTGTTGTGTGGTTTGCCCCCTGAAACTGACCTTTCTTTTGCTCTTGTTTCAAACTGCTTCGCCATCTTCTGCCTTGGAATGAGGTTTAGATAGTAATCTCATAGATGACTTTCTCTTTTGCAGAGTTTGGTCACTATTTTCTTATCAAATGCAAGTTTAGAATAATCCCCAAAAATCTTGATATGCTTCAGAGCTGTGACTGTGCGGCAGTGTTTTCATTGTCTCCGCGAGGGCCGTTGTCTTTGCTGCGGAGCTCATTCATATTGGTTGCCAATGTGAGTGGACCTGGTCGGAGTGCCTAGAGACTTGGCTAGTTATGTTCTGACTTGAACTTTGTGTGAACCTGGTGGGTTTTTACTCCCAAGCATATGTTTTATGTGGCAGGTCCTCCACGAAGGACGGTTGTCGAAGTGGAAGTTTTTTCTTGGCTTTGCTGATTAGAAAAGATAGACTCTGATGGCAGTTTTCGCACCACTGATGCTATTGCACAATTGTCAAATTTGAAGATACTCAACAATTGGGCGTATTTTGGTGACCACTGTAAACTCTTCGCTTCTGAAGGGGATATCATCAGACATTTTAAACTGACAGCATTGAATGATGAGAGTTAGTCTTGTGTCGTGTGCCTTAAGTGTGCATGCAACTTCTACTATTCATTGAATATTGAAAAATGAATCAGTAGATTTTTAATTGTAGTTATGTCTAACAATAACTCGGCACGAAGGATTCCATTGTTCGTGATGTAACGAACTGACCACGTAATCATCTTCTTCGCACAGCAATAATGTTCCCACAAGTAGGCTAAGTGATAGTGATGCTTTGGCAGCCGAATTGCATATGCCTTTTCAATGAATCTTCCCTGCCCCATTTCTCAAAGATTCAATGCTCCCCAATCCAAATACCATCTTCAGCTTCGTTTGTGTCTGGCAGAGGAAGCTGGTTCCAACTGTGACCTTTGCTTTCTTCAATCTATAATTCCTCGAGAGGGAGATAAATAAATAGTAAATACAGACACACACACACCCACACACACACACACACACACATATATGTATATATATATATATATATATATATCTATATATGTGTGTGTGTGTGTATATTTGTATGTATATTTATATTTACACATTCTAAAGGACTTCCACATTCAAGAATTGAAGTTTTAAGATATCTAATGTTCACGAATAATGTAATCAGGGAAAACTGAATGTCCTTGCGAATTTAACTCATGTACCTAGCTTTGTCCATGGTGTCCAACGAAGCCCCTCGAATACTTGAGTAGGATCTACGGTCGTGCGGAAGAAGATTGTGGCCAGCAGGTGTACTGCAGTTCACGTCTTCTCTGAGCAGGTGGTCGCAGGGTTGGATCTCGTTGCGATTCGAGATCTAGTCTGGCGGACCGTAATTAAAACGTGTGTGATCTGTGCACAGCATTATGACCGATCATCACAACACCGTATTCGATTATTATGTTGCACCCCAAAGTGGAGATGGGTTGCAAGAAGGGGGGGATTTAGGACTCCACAATGCCAAAGCAAGGATGAAAACACTGTACCAGTTGCTCATTCCGCACACAACCCTGGCTTTGTGTGCTCTTTTCACTACAAGTTTTTGAAACAATGCAGATGTACAATTTCCATGTGAGCTGTTCTCCTTTGCATAGCATTGAGTCGGAATGATGTCGGATCAGGTTTCCCTGTGATAAGCCACGCGAATACCCAATATATTCTTGGACGATGATTCCTCTCCTCCAACTGTTGGGGACCGCTGTGGCTGACATTGGAAAAATGCATTCGACGTTGATTGGATGCAGATAAAACAGTACTGCAGGTGAGGTCATCTTTATCTCGATGTAGGTAGCGATTTCTTCTTCTTCCAAAGTTCGGTGGAACTGGTTTTTACAATACGCACTTCTGTCTCGTGATTGCTCCCCAAATAACTGAGCTCCGTAACGTAGCGGCTCATCTGATTATTTCGTTCTCCTAGTAGCATTTCACCGCAAGGTGTCCAGCATCTGTTCCCAGATGGTCGTGTCGTCGTGAACTTCGTTACCACCAACTTCAACATACACGAGGCTTTAGTTTACTTCACCACTGCAAAACCAGCTGGAACGTCTATAAAATTTTGGTTCATTCGGATTCACGTTGCGTCTACATTACTGGTGTTAGAGTTGCTGGAACACGAGGAGCTCAACATGGCCGGAGAGAATCATGAAGGGGGTTCCTCGTTCAGGCGGAGCTTTTCTACGTCCTCATCATTTCAATAAAAGGAAATCATTCGTCAAGTGAACCAAACCAAAAATAAAATGTACCAATCATAAAGTGAGGGAGTTAAACTTTTTCCAGCTGCCTCAATGCTTCTGTGAAGACCACTGATATCCTCTACAAATCCAATCATCACAACTTGAGCTTTCGGTAGTTCAGCTCACAGCTCAAATAACCCAGAAGGGAAAACCATGCTCTGCACAACGAACAGCACGAATCGCTGCAAAATGACGAAGTCATCAGCGCAAATCATGTGCTCCGATTCTCATCAGTGCACACTTTTTGAGCTTCATCTATCACTCACTGCTCGTGCGCGAAAAAAAGCAAATGGTCAGAACTCGAGTGAACGACAATGCAACACACACTAGAAACATGCGCCTGAACGTGGACCTGAAACTCATGGCTGGTGATGGGAAGTAGCAGACCAGGTTCAGTGCGACACTGGAAAACCGTTCTTCACCCTCGGTTTGGACCTGGTGGCACCGCCTGCTGTGATCAACGCTTTGCCAGTCGAGAGTTGGGTCATGTCATCAACTGACTCCCCGGATTCGTGTGCTCTGTATCGCTTGCTTCACTTCAAGAAGGACACCGGCATTGTTTCTGGGTGCCAGTCCCTCCAAGTGCCGGTAGCTGAGACTTTCAGCTGCAGCGTCACTCAATCTGTCCGTTTCTGCGAAGATCCTCGCAGTCTTAAACGGCAACGTGCACGATCTCCGACTAGATCCGCACACCGTGTCAGAGACCGAATCATCGCCAACCATCCGTCGCAGGAGCAGGAATCACCGAAAAACATACACACCGAGTCATTCGCATCGAGCTTTCTGCGTGGATTGTAAGCAAGTTGTGTGCACATTCTTCGCACTTCCTTCGTGAATCGATCAAGCAATGTCCCACAAAAACGTGGGGATTCTAGATTTGTAGATGCATTGTTTTTGTTGCTGTTGTTACTGTGGTGAGTGTTTGAGAAGACGGAGGAGAACATGCCGAGAATGAAAAGTACAAAGTTAGACTTCTCATGTATTTTCGTGTGTTCGAAGTATCAAATTTGGCCATCAAAACTAAGATTTTCACTGTTGTTGTTTGGGTTCAGTATGTTTAGAATTTAGTAAGAAATTTTTCGTGGTTGATTATTTAACTTTTGGTTTTGATTTGTTATTGCTTGCATATTCAAAAAAGATATTCATGAATTTGGATTGAGATAGTTTGCTCAAAGTAGGAGGTGAATTCTGCCTATTGCAAAAATAGTGTAATTGTTTTTGTTCCTACATTGAGTTTATACAAGTGGTAAATTTTGGATTTTTTTGTTTTTATTTTTATTGTTATAAATGAGTTATAAGTTTAATTTTATTAGGATTTTTAGAATGTCTTAAAAAATAATAGAAAATATTTTAAAGTTTTTTTTGAATGGCAATACTATGGACTCCATTAAATTTTACCACAAATGTTTTTAAAGCAACAGATGGGACTCAAGACCAAATTTTAATTTCGTTCCAAAAGTTATTCCAAGTGAGTGATTTTATGGCTTAAAATATTCTATTAAAATAATTACAGCTTGAATCATAATATTTTCTAAAACCTATTTTAGATAGTAAAGGTGTTGGGAATCTAATCCTAGAATAGAAATATTATAAAAAATAATTCTGAAGCTCATGTGAGAGTATTTTAGTAGCACTTTGTAGGAACAAATAATTCCAATCTATACCAACAAGTTTCTAAAAGCCATCATATATAAAATAATAAATCTTTTTATAATATTGTATGTACAATGATTCAAAAAATTGTTTCAATATTGACATATTTTAGAAAGAATAGTATATTACAGATGAATAATGACATGTGGTTTTTATAGCAAATAAAGTATTTTCTTACAACTACTAAATGAGCCCAAGTTGAAAAGAATCCATTAGGTAATTGTAGAGCTATGACCAATCCAATTTGAAACAGTATTGAAATATTTTTTTGAGTGTTGTATTCAATTATATATTAGTATTTTTTAGGACCTCTTTTTGCCTTGATAACTACTTCCAACCTCCTAGGCATACTTTCTATTAACTTTTGGCACAAAACTACTTCAATATTATTCTATTATGTAACTATTCTTTTCCATAATTTTCAAACTTCATTTAGTTTTATCCTCCACGAATTGAGCTGGTGTTTGAGGTACTTCCAAAGATATTCAATAGAATTAAGATCAAGAGACTAAGCAGACCAGTCCATAACTTTAATCCCATGATGATCAAATCACTTCCATGCTAGTTTTGAATTATGCTTGAGATTGTTAACTTGCTGAAAAATCACCTCCTCTTTAGAAATACTAGATTCTTCAATTCTAGGGAATAGGTTTTTTTCAAGAATTTCCACAAATTGCTCAGCATCCATCCTCCCATCAACCTCTACCATCTTTTCAATCCCATTCTATCCCATACAATCCTATACCATTATATTTCTACCTCCATGCTTAATTATTTTTTAGATCTTCTTGTCAAGAGAAGATTGACCCTTTTGTTTCTATACCCACTTTTTGCCATGTAATCCAAATCTATTGATTTTTGTCTCATCTCACCAAATAACCCTCTTCCAATCTTCCACAACCCATTTCTTGTATTTCAAAGCAAAATCTAAGTGTTATTTTCGATGGTGGATAGATAACAATGGCTTTTTCTTCTTCACCATGGCTTTCATATTCCATTTCTTGAGAACATTTTGAATGGTTTGGGTTGATATTCGATTATTGATAATATTGTTAAGGTTTTTATCAATCTCAACAACATTTTTAGCCTTCCCAATGTTGATTCAGCAAATGATTGCCCTTTCATCTACTACGATGAACTTCTTTGGTCTACATAATTTAAGATTTTTCCTATTAAAAGTGATCTTTTTTCCTATCTTAGAGATAATAGCTTCATTGTAGTCAAGTTCAAAAGCAATTTGGCTATAAGATTTTTGAGAATGAAGAAGAGCAGAGATAATGTTGTCTTGGAGAGAGCATAGAATGGGTCTCATAGTTGTTTAAGGAATTGTCAAGGATAAAAGAATCTGACAAAGAAATATATCAGGAGTAAAGACAAAGAATGAAATTGATAGCAAAAGTGGTTCCAAAGACTCTTATTTATACTATAATGAAGGTTAAAAAAATATATGGTACTTTCAATAGAAGTTTCTAGAAATCTAAAGAAGTTTTTAGAAATCTAAAGAAGCTTCTAGAAATCTAAAGAGACTTTTAAAAGCCAATGGAACTTTCTAAAAGATTGTAGAAGATTTTACAAGTATTTAAAGGTTCTAAAAATTTGTAGAAGATTCTAAAAGGTCTTAGAATGTGGTAATTTGGAAGATGTCCA